TTAATTTTCTTTTGTTTATTTCATTTTGCTTTGTTTGTTTAATGAAAGAAGACCTTTCACACATTTGCTCACTGTCCACTAAGGAAACACGGAGAAAAGTGTTCTCTCTGGCTGTGACGTCTCTCTGGGCTCAGGCATGACAGATGACAGAGGTGCTTTATGACAAAGTGGGTGCAGGAGGAGGGAGGTGCAGCAGGTGTATCCAGGGGCCTAGGTTCCCTGGTGAGCTCATGGGGGAGCAGCTAACAGCTTCTTGTTTACTCCTATATCTTGATCGGATATAGTAAATAAAGACACTAGCCGGGTGTGGTTGTACATGCCTGTAATCCCAGCAATTGAGAGGCTGAAGCAGGAGGATTACTATGACTTTGAGGCCAGCCTGGCCAGCAAATGAAACCTTGTCTTAAAAAGACATTGATTGACAAAGGTTCTACAATCTGAGGTACAGGATCTCAGGATAAATCCTGAAGGCATTTCACTGACCTTCTCAGACCAAAAAGCTACAACTCTTGTTGCATAGGTTCTGCTTTACCTTGGTCTTAACCATCCAGTAGAAAAGTATGAAGATGAAATATAGGAAGTAAAGCCATGTTGTTATGTTGAGCTGTGGGGGACTCAGGTCAATAATTTCTGACATTGCCAATTAAACAGAAGACCCAATGCTATTATGGGCTTCTGTACTCTTTTAGAATATTTTGCTGAGTTTACACACCTATAATATTCAACAATGGAACTTAAAAAAAATTGGGGTATAACTATGAATGTCCATTTTGTATCTGTGTATTCAAAGTGGTTGGGATAGATATATAGTTGCATTCTCTTAATGAATAGAATGATTTGTTCTAATGGTGTTTGTAAGTAGGATCACAAGTCTGCATCTTGTACAGCAATTAACCACTAAGAAGAATATATGCAGTGTATTATTTGTTGAAACTGTACTTCCGATTTGATTTGAAACTGTCTCATTGCTATATGTTTATCAATAAAACTTTGAAAAGAAAAAAAAAAGACATTGATGCCTCTCCACCCTTTAAAATTCGCACATAATATATACATTCCCCAAAGAATTGGTACATGCACAAGACTCTGAGATCCTGTGCTCACCAGGTCCTGCTGTTCAGCTCTGGCCATGTAGTTTCAGGCTACACTGGGTTAGTGGAACCAAGCTGCTAGAAATGTCCACTTTATCACCCAGAGTCCAGCATTTTTGAGAACTCTTGTACACTGCAAGAGCTAGTATGCAAAATATCAGATCTTAAATTCTTAACAAATGTCAGTTTTCCAGTGTTCACATTTTAGATTTCTTGCCACATTTTGAGAGTGGGGCCAGTGGAGTGAGCCATTGCTCAGAAATTTAGACGCACCCCCAGCCTGAGAGAGGAGCTGGAAAGTAGGGAGAAGGGTGTGTCTGCAGCAGCCTGAAGCGATTAGGGGAGGAGGAGAGGGCCTGCCCAAATATAAGCCATAGAAATTATTTCCCCTTAGTGCAGACAGATGAAAATGAGGAGCTTATAACCCCAGGAGGTAATGGCTCCAGCTGAGAGGTCTCTTAGCTTGCCCACCAAAGGTGTATGTTGTAAAACTTCTTTACTAAATGTGTAGGTAGTTGTGCATGTACAGTTCAAAATGGATCAAAGAAATGCAGCACATAATAAAGTCCGCTTTGCTCCAGATTTTTCTGCAATCCTCCTGCTGCTGTCCGGATGAGCCTACTTTGCAGGTCTGATGGTGGCATGAACCATAATTGATGGAACAGGACCTGTTGGGGAACACTGGGGAGCTTCCAGTGGTCTTCAGTGATGAGACCTCAGGTCATGCTTCCTAGATTTCCCTCACTTTGAAACCAGAAGTTGCCCTAAGACCTAGACAGGTGTGTAAAGGGCAGTATTCCTTGCTTCCTCTGCTCACAGGACACTTGAGAAGGGGCATCAGGGTCCCTGAGAAAGCAGAGTCTCAGATCCTCCATGGTCAGACCCTCAGCTCAGGACCCTCAAGTGCCTGCTCCTCCCGCTGACCCTAGAGGCCTTCGCTGAGAATGGAGAGGGAGGCTTCACCCCTAATGGGAATCCAGTTCCCTTCACAGATAATTTAGAAAAATAAAACTAAGTTGAAGAAGTAAAAAACATGCATCCGATGAGGTTAAACTTGGGAGACCGCTGCAGGGAACCCCAGCTAAGCACACGAACCGCAGGACCACCAAGGTGGCTGGAAATCTGAGCGTGTGTTAAAGAGGAGAGATGAGCTCTTGTCACATGCCGAGCCTTAGGAAATTCCCAGGACATTTCCTTTCCCAATAAAACTTCCCGCCACGGAACTGTTTCTGATAGGTAGACATTTCTGCAGTGGGAGCCTCCTCGCCCAGCAAGTGCAAGCTGCTCTCAAGATGAGCTCCTGGGGTTGGCACCAAAAGCCTGAAGCTGACATAGTCAAAGGACAAGGAAGAGACAAGCAGAGCCACCTGGAAATGGAGGGTCCTGCAGCCCAGTTCTTCCTCCTCAGGCTAAGCCCATGGGATATAGTGGTGCTGGGGAGGGAGAAACAAAGGCCAAAGCCCTCTGCACCCATTACCTCATCTGACTCCTGCGAGGCGGAGAAGCATTGTTTCATTGTGCTGACCACATTCCACAAAAGCAGAGAACAGTGAAGAAAGAGAAAACCCACCCCTGGTGCCATAACTGAAACAAAGCTATTGTGATCGTGTTGGCAGTCTCCATCCTGACACTGGAATGTATGTATTATTTTATGTAATTATAGACTAAATGACATAATGCAGGAGCTTCCTCCTTAATTTCTTATTAACTGTTATAGAATGGACAGACGCCATGTTGCCAAATCCTTCAAAATCACCCCCTTCCTACCTGCGAGCCAAGCACTCCAGTGATGTGGCTGGCTTTCCCTGTGCAGGGTTCTTGGGGTTGAATTTCTGCACTGCCTTGCACATTACAGCTCCAGGTTGTTTTATTACAATCAATACCCAAAGGGCAGGAGTGAGCTAGCATACAGCCTCTGTCTTAGGCACTTCCTCCATGCTGGGTCTCAATGCCTGAACCCATAAATTAAAGGGGGAGAGGTCTACTGTGGCTCATGGCTTCAGAAGTCTCTGTCCTTGCCTGGCTGGCTGACTCTGTGTCAAGACAGTACAGCCGAGATGCCTGGAAAGGGAGAGCCACTCATGCCACAGAGGCCAGGAAGCAGAAAGAAGATGAAGCCAGGGAGGGAGGAGGTACACCCACAGGGACCTGACTAGACTCCACCTCCTAATGCCAAGCCAGCTGTAGCAAGCCCATAATTCCATTGCCTTCCACAAGCCCCACCAACTGAGCTCATGAGGCTTTGGGGGACATCCAGATATCAACCATAATAGCTGGCCTTGTGAGCACAGGAAGAGCCTCCCCTGAAAAGTTCACATAACTAATAACCTATAGTTGGCCTTCAGGCAGGAAAGATGTCGCCCCAGCATGGAGCAGGCTTGTGTTTGAAGTAGGGTAGGTTGGTAGGCTGAAGAAACCAGAGATATGTCAGAAGAGAAACATGGAGCTGGGCTAAAGAGGCCTTGTTCCCTCCTGCTCTCTCAGTGCTGCTACATATGACCCTCCTGCCATCATGTCACACCCAAGTATCCTACTGTGGAAAGTCAGTGACATGGTCATCTCCTATAGATGACCAGGTGATAACCAGCCTCCCTCTCTGAGTGGGACCACCAGAAAAGTTCTTTTTTTCAGAGGAGGTTGAGGTGGGCCTCACTAGGCTCAAGAATTGAGAGAGGACAGGGTGAGGGTGAGGGAGGAGGTGGTCCTAGTTCTGGAAGTTGGACTGGGGGCAACATCCCTTGAGCACACAGGCTTCCAAGATAGGGCCTCCAGTGTGTGACTGGAATGGCAGCTTCTAAGTGTGGGTGACTCTAGGACTACAGGAGCAGGAACTTAAGGCACCACCTATTGGAAGTCCTGTTGGAAGACCAAGCTACCATCTGGCATGTGAGTGCATTCATGAGGGTTCCCTGAGGTGGATGAATTCCCAGCCCCCAAAACTTGAAGAAAAACAGTTTAAACTCAGCTCATGGTTTCAAAGGATTCAGTCCCGGGTCAGCCAGCTCCCTGGAAGGAACTTCATGGTGCAAGGCTGCTGCCAAGCAAGGCTTCTCACATCATGGTGGCCAGGAAGCAGAGAGAGAAGAAAACACTGGGGGCAAGAGTACACCATTCTTGGCCACACCTTCAGTGACCACCTCCACCCAGGCCCCACCTCCAAGTATAGGAGGCTTTAGAGTCCTTTTGGACCTAACCCATGACACAGAGGCACACCATTTCCTGAATTTCTTGTATGATCACCACCTAGCTGGACATGCTGGGGCAGGAAGATGGCATCAGGAAAACAAGAGCACACCGTGCCATCCATGGACCCGAGAGTGCGCAGCCCCTCGCTGCCTGTGTGGGATCCACTGCTGGCAGCCCAGTGACACAGGGACAGAAACCTAAAAGATACCTGGGACGAGTTCATGTTCCCTAAAACCAAAGAATGAATTTTAGGAACAATGGAGGTTAAGAGCAGTGTTTATTTATTGGAGGGGAAAAAAAGCTCCTGTCCCAGAGAGGGATAGAAGGGGACCTGAGTGGGTTGCCCAGGAATCTGTCTTTTCTAGGGATTTTTATAGAGCAAAACCATGAGGTGAGGCAGGGATAAGGTAAGCAACATGGAAACTTATTAGGTGGGCATGAAGCAGGACAAAACTGTGGTCCACCAATGAGATCACAAGCACCATTGCTCAGGTAAAATTGATTAAATCAGGATCTAATGGCAAAGCGAGTCACATAGCAGCAGCATGAGTACAGAACATGGGCTCTTCCCATAGGGGGTTGGATTAGTGACTTCTTTTGGCTTTCTCTAGATGGTAAAGACCTATTTAGACTATCAGTCCTGACGTCTATCCTTAGGGAGGTCTGGCATTTGTTTGATCTTTTGTCTTACAGTCTGGCCCACAGCGGGAGTGCCTGTCTCTCCCAGAGTTGAAAGATATCTTGTCTTCCATGCTGGCTTCTTCTGAGGGCCCAGCCCTGTCTGGATGCCTGTAATATTTTATCTGACCCAGCTGCCTACAACACTAGTGCACCACCTCTCCTCGTGCCAGCCCATACTGCCTGAGGTCCTATGCAGGGAGAGAACAGGTCACCACCCCTCACATCAGCATCCATGGGGCCAGTGAACACAGAACAAGTGTTAGAGTTGAGTTTCTGAAAGACAGGATGAAAAGCAGATCCTCATTCCCAATAGCCAACAATTCCATCCTTTCACCTGCCTTTGCTTGTTCCCTATCGGAGCTTTTATGTTCATCTTCTGTTTGTTCGGATGCTTTGTCTGAGACCGAATTATTCTTTCTTCCCAGTCACAGATTTCTTCTTTGTGATAGGCATGCATGAACAAGCGTACATAGATGCATCAGTGAACAACAGGAGCAAGTTCTGGAAAATACCTCATGAGGGCTCTTGCTCTGCATGGACCACGTCACAGAGCACACATTGCAGACGTGGGCAGTGCCACTGCCTACCAGGCTCTGCTGCAGCTCAAGGCCCCCACAGTGAACACACAGTGCCTGGCGCTATGCTGAATGCCATGGGCAGCTGTGACCCAGCCTTGAGTGCCTGTGAGTGGAAGCACGTCCACTCCAGGGAAGGCAGGCAGGACACTAGGAGAAAGGGCAGATGGGGAGCGCCACTCGCCACTCAGGACACGGGCAGCGTGAAGTCTCCAGGCGAAGGTTCTCCAGCTCCATCACCATCTCCAGGGCCACCGGGTGCATACGCAGCCCCACGCTGGCTGAGGCTGTCATCAGGGTGCAGCTTGACAGTTGTGTGGGCCTGCAGTCTCTGTCCCACTTTGTGGACTTCTCTGTCCCCGAACTGTGATTATGAGCATTGTATTTCGTAACAGACTTTAATAATTACCAAAAAAACTAATCATTATTTTAATTCAAATTTTGTTTTATATACATTTTTGCACAGTGCATTCAAATTTTGTTCCATTTCCAAAATAACCATGAGGATATTGAAATGAGTTACATTAAATTTGTGCATTATGGAAGCAGTATTTTCACAGTGAGCTTCTTACCCAGAAACACAACACCCATCCAGATGTGTAAGCCATTAGAGACGGTGCGCTCCTGGACATTTCTGCAGGTTTCTTCACTGCCATCATGCCAGCTTCCCTGCCTGCTCTTTGGCCATTGCTGCCACCTTCGTGCATGCTTTTCTCATTCCATGTGCCTGCCGACACAGAGGTTCTTACCCACCATCTCACCCATGACCCTTGGGCTCAGGAGTTCACTAAGTGGCTTAGGTTCCTTATCACAGTAGTGGAAGGTGAGCAGCACTCAGCTGGTTTCTGTGTTCCCTCCTTCTCCCCCAGAAACCCAAAGTGCTCAATGGGGACCATGTCAGGTATGATATCAGCCATCTGGCTGCATCTTCACTGGGTGTCAGGACAAACCTGAAGTGAGATCAGACTCCAAGATGCCTGCCTGGCTGGCTACAGCCGGCCCACCTGATGCTGATGCAGATGTGTACCCTCTGGAGATGGCAGATGCTGGGAAGGTGACACTGAGCTGGTTATGGAGACAGAGCTAGTGCAGGGTCATCAGCCCCCAGTGATCTGTCCAGCTCATAGCAGGCCAGGGCTCTTCCTGACGTGGGAGCCGTGGAGTGCAGTGGGTTGTGCTCCTGAGCATCTGGAATTGAAAGATAGTCGGCATGGTGGTGAAACCCCTCCAGTGTGTGCAGAAGACCTCCGCCAGGCCATAGTCACCATTCATAATTCCTTGTGCCACACCATACCAGAGAGAAGTGACAAGACCCACTCTGGAGCTCAAGACAAAGCCATCATCTTCAGACTGACTGAGGGCCTAGGTCATTTTGTCTCAGGGAGTTTGGGTCTGAAATGCCGCTTACTGAATGCTCCTGTCTCCTGCACACAAGATCAGTCAAATAGTACAGGAACCTGGACCCTTCAGCTCAGCCTGGCATCAGGATCTCTGGGCATCTGGAGAGGACTCTCATGTCCCATGAGGGCACCATGCTGGGGAGACACAAGGAAAGAGCAGGGGACCTAGCTCCACAAAAGTTCCCTCATAGCCAGGTGGAAAAACAGGGTCCTCTCTGCTCCCAGGAAGCTCATGAGATGAAACTATGGATGGGGAGAGGGGAAGCTCTAGATGGGGACAGAAGCAGAGAAGACAGAGGGGATGCAGTTCCTGAGGCCACTGACTTTATAAGTAGAAAAGGTTCATGTAGCTGCAGTTCAGAGGATCTGAGGCTAAGGCTGGGGGGCCACACTGGAGTGACCTCTGGCTGTGTGCACCATGGAGGTGGCATCATGGGAGCCAGTGGTCACCCCTGAACCAACGCAGGAGGAGGGGATGGACTAGATCCCACATCCCCTCTGAGGGCACGAATCTCCCCCAGGGCAAACCTTCCAAGGGTGTCACCTGGGATTGGACACACGGGCACCTGGGGACACTTGTCCCCAGGCAGGATGAGAGCACTGAGCAGGCTGCACCCTGGGTTTGCATGGCCTGACCCCATCCTGTTGCTCACTTTTAGTGCTTGTTCCCAGAGAGATGCCCACCTAAATCTCCATGCTGGGAACAGGCACTTGGCAGAAGAAGAGCTCTATAAATACCAACATAGGAATCTCACCCCTGATAAAGATGTTTCTCACCGGACTGGAGTTTGAAAGGATAAATAACAAAAATGCCAATCCTGTGAGCCCAAGCCTTATTTTTAGATATCCCAGCCCTTGGTGCAGACCCTGTGTGTGGGATGGAAGAGGCAACGCCAGCCGCCAGCCCTCTTCCGTTTTGTTCCTCAGCCCCGGAAGGTGCCAGATCCTCGATTGTTGTGCTAAAAACACCCCCAGTATGGTTTGTTGGCAGCTGGCCTTGGTTTTTTAAGTTTCCTGCCCTTTTTATTGCATGGTGTTCCCAGTCTTGATAGAAAGGACCAGACACCGTGCCCAACAGTGAGCCGAGTCTTCGTCATCAGCAGCACAGTCACACTGGGGGCAGCTACTAGACAGGGAGCTGGCACAGGAAGTCCAACAGCGACACCACTCCCCGCCACCCGATCAGTCATCTTTTTCTATTGGTCAGCTGTGTCCTGCTCAGCCTGGGGAAGGGGTGAGACCCTGCAGAGGAATACAGCCCCATACAACATGATAGCAGGAGTGCCTAGAAACACCTGCCTCTTGCATGCATGGTTAGCCAGGGGAGGATGTGAGGGCAGGGTTTACTGAGCCTTAGCCTGCCCAACCCTTGCTCCAAGTAGGGGCTCTGACTTGCAGAAGGAGCCATGACCTGGCACTGGAGATCTCCTTGTTGTTGCTAGTAGTGTCGTTGCTTATTGGCTTTCCTTTGCTTTTGAGGAAGAGTCTTATTACATTGCCTAGGTTAGCCTTCCACTCCCAATCCTCCTGCCTCAGCCTCTGGAGTCCTGGTGTTACAGGTGGCTTGGAATTGGATTCTTTGATTTGTTTTAACTTTTGCAGTGGTCCAAGCTAAGTCATCCTAATGCTCTTCCAAAAGAGAATCAAAAACAGCAGTTCTCCAGGAGGAGGCGGCTCACCCCTAGGATCCCCAGCACCTACTCAGGGCCTGATAACAGCCAATGCCCACCAAACTCAGGGTTGTATTCCAAGACTCCCAGGTTGCCTGACCCTATGGAACCCTGTAAACACTATCTTGTCTACACACTGAGACTGTGATGAAATTTAATTTACCAATTAGGCACAGTGAGAGGTTAACAACAAAAACTAAGAATAGCACACTTAACAAGAAACTGTAAAAAAAAAAAAAAAGTTATGCGTCCTCTTTGAACGTGAGTCTTCTTACTGTATATTTTAGCAGCTGCAAACTATGGCTTCTTTGCTTTCCTTATTAAGTTGGGAAATTTGATCTTTCTACTTAAAAGAAGCATTTGGATCAAAATTCAAGACTGAAAGTACAGTTTCAAATGAATGGCTTTTGCCCTCAAGCTATTGTGACAGTGCAGAAACCTAAGTGCAAACACCCTAAGCCAGGAACCTCTGCATGCGGACACAAGAAGCAGGACTTAGCAATGATTCTGTTCTCCCAGAGCACTTGACACCCTGACTGTGAGTGTGATGTCTTTGTTCCCTTCCTGGCTAAACTTGAACTCCCCCATCCGAGGCCAAGGGACCCCAGAGGCTGATTTTCATTGCCATGGGTGAAAACAGAGTTTAGAAATGCTACTCTCGTACGCCAAGGCAATTAAACTTCGCTGGGAGAGGATGCCTATTTCTGCTTCCTCACCTACCTCAACATATATTCGAGTGTTCCATCCCACCAATACATAATTCTATAACTGCCAAGGACAAGAAGAAAGAAGCCAAAGTCCCCTCCTCACCTCCACCAGAGTTAGGGGAGGGTTGGGGAGTAGGAAGGTGTAGGCAGAACTGGAACAAAACACACAGGTACTCATGGAGATGCGGCTTGACTGTAATCACCAAAACAAAAGACGAGAGACATTTGCTATTCAGAAAGGCAGTCACAAACTCACCCAATAGTCATCCTCAAGGCAGGAAAGTAATTCAGGTGACCTCTGTCCAGGCCAGCAGAGGAGACATCTGTCTGGTGGGAACTGGAGGCTCTGAACTGACCCTGCAGTCTAAGGAGAAGCAATTTAATTATTATGTTCTTGAATGCACCATTTTAAAAAAACTGTTCTATTTTACATGAATTTCCCAATAGCCATGACAGCTAAGAAAAAAAAAAGAAAGAAACAGTCTGATTTTCATTGCCATGGGTAAAAACAGAGTTTAGAGCTCATTTTACTTCAGGATATCAAATTCTTTCTCTCTCCGAAAGCCTTCCAGACCCTGGGGAGTTGGGAAAGGAGAGAGGGGTCTTGTCTCTGTTGCTCCAAGGGGGAAATGGAGTCCTGGAGAGACCCAGCCTGCGTTTGCAGCAATCAAAGTTAACATCCGCAATTCCCAAGAACCCGAGTCTGACAGGGCTGCAGGCTCAGAAATCCTAAATTCTAATGGTCTACTTTATGAAAAGATTAAAAGCAAACAGGGAACGCTCCCAGGATAGCA